AACGTGTTCGTACCTAAGTTTAAATAATAAAATGTTTATTGGTAAGTGTGAGTTTGTGTCTGTATGCACGTGCGTGCGTGTGTTTACGTGTACGTGTTTTTGTGTGTGCGTGAGCTTGCATCATTTGTAATAGGGTTATGGTTGGAACATTAAATGACGCAATTATTAAAATGTACATGATTTTGTTTTCTTGTTTGCTTGTTTGCTCGTTGGTTCGTTCGTTTGTTTGTTTATTTTATGTTTGTTTAATTAAATATTAAAAATGAATACTTTGTAATTTAGATAAGTAAATTTTACACAACTCCTTTTAGAGTATCTCATTGAGCGAGCCGTCGTTTTATATACAAACAGGAGAGCGCCGTCAAAATAAAAAGATTAGCTGGAAGTTATAAAAATATTCAGAAGGGTCTTGCGAAGGATTTTGGAAACATGGTTGCGTGGATGCTGGGTGCTATGATGACGTGGGTGGTGCGTGCCGTGGTGGTTAGGTGGTGCGTGCCGTTGTGGGGTAGGTGGTGCGTGCCGTGGTGGGGTAGGTGGTGCGTGCCGTGCTGTTGATGATTACAAAGCCAATGTTGAAAATAAAACAAATTACCAAAATAGCAAATAATCAAACAAAGTAAAACAAATAAAAGTGATAGGGAGAAGGAAAAAGAGAGGAAGAAGAAGAGAAGGAAGGGAGGAAGGGAGAGAGTGTGGAGATATATGGGAGCGATGGAGCGTGAAATTGAATATGTTGTGCACGCTCCTGCTAGAAGTTAGATGAGGATGCAATGAGTTTTGGGATTTTATGCTTGTTATATGCGCACAGCTCGCGGTCTATGGCTGGTTGAACAAGATGGTGGCTGCGGTGATAGTGGTGGTGGTGGTGATAATGATGACGATGATGTTAGTGACGAAGATGATGATGATGACGATGATGATGATGGTAGTGATGCTAATGAGGATGGCGATAATGTGATAATAACGACGATGATGACGACGACGAAGATGATAGCTGCTGTGTCTGTAGATCTGAATAGGGAACTGAAGAATGGATTGTTCGCAGAAATACTTTTAATTGAATGAATGGCTGGTGGGTGGGTGGGTGGGTGGGTGGGTAGGAAGTGAAAACGCTTAAAAAGGTACATGATTGATTGATGAATCATGAATAATGTTAAGGAATCTTATGAATGACTGAATGACTGAATGAATGAATGAATGAATGAATGAATGAATGAATGAATGACTGAATGACTGAATGAATGAATGAATGAATGAATGAATGAATGAATGACTGAATGAATGACTGAATGACTGAATGAATGAATGAATGAATGAATGAATGAATGAATGAATGAATGAATGAATGAATGAATGAATGAATGAATGAATGAATGAATGAATGAATGAATGAATGAATGAATGAATGAATGAATGAATGAATGAATGAATGAATGAATGAATGAATGAATGAATGAATGAATGAATGAATGAATGAATGAATGAATGAATGAATGAATGAATGAATGAATGAATGAATGAATGAATGAATGAATGAATGAATGAATGAATGAATGAATGAATGAATGAATGAATGAATGAATGAATGAATGAATGAATGCATGAATGAATAATTAAATAATTAAATAAAGAATGAAATCTGTTCAACTTCAATGGAGGAATGATTGATTAACATTATAAAGGTAACATTCAGCCTACGATCTCGAAATTCCAAACATGACTCTGCTGCTCAGTCTCGTCCGTAACTTCATTAAACTGATGCTGCGCATGCACACCACTGAAATAATTTTTGTAAGAAAAAAATTAACATATCTTTTTATGTCATTAGTTGAAATATCCGATCGGTAACCTGCTCAATAGAGGTTGAATTACGTAAAAAAGCAAAAAGCAACAATTGTATAATGTGGAAAATAAACACACACACACACACACATACACACACCACACACACACACACACACAGACACAGACAGACACACACATACACACACACACAGACAGAAACTTAAAAACTCAAATCGGCCCATGAAATGAGGGGGCTACTGTTGTTGTTGTATGTGCTGCCCTGTGCTGCAGAAGAACACATTCCCCCATCTGTGATATCAAACTCAATTTGCATCCTGCTGCATGTCCTATCCTCTTTCTCATCTTCATCATCATCATCATTACATCATCATCATCATCATCATCATCATCACATCATCATCATCACATCATCATTATCATTATTATTATCCTCATCATCAGTATCATCATCATCGTCTCGTCATTTGAATTACTATTATTATTGCTGTTGTTACCATTATCATCATCATCGTCGTCCTCATCATCATCGTCGTTGTCCTCATCATCGTTATTATTACAATTATTATCATATATTTTTGTATTTCTAGAATTTGTATCCATCCATCCAGTCAGGTAAGGTATCTATCTAATAAAACATACATCTATCTATCTAAAGAATCAATACCAACAAAAACATTTTTACAGTATGTATGTATGTATGCGTGTTAAAACCAAAACATGTTTGTATGCATGATGCATGCATGTATGTATTATTGTCATCATTATTTTTAAAATTTATATGGCGCCAATTATAATTAAAAATTTTCACCAGCACTTCGTGTTCTTAAAATAAAATCAAACATAAATAAAAAAAATATGTCTTACGGCGTCTTTTAAATTTTAAGAGGGTTAATTCGGATTGACGAACTTTATCTGGCAGTCGGTTACAAAAAGTCGGTCTTGACACGGCAAAATCTCTACTACCAGTTTCCAAATTTGTTTTAAGCACATGCAATTTATTTGAACTGGAAGACCTCAATTGCCCATGAGTTCCCAGAGAGAAAATTTTCATGCATTAACCAGACAGGAACCTATGAGCCAGACTCCCAATTTAGACAAGATTTTTTGCTTTATAGGCAGCCATAGATATGTATGTATGTATGTATGTATGTATGTTAAAACCAAAACATGATGAGTGACACTGAACCGTCAAACATCAAGTAACAAATGGATTAACACTTTGATTTGTCGTTAATTGCACATGTCGGCATTCAGTTGGATATTTTCAAGCACACAGACACGCAGGAACCGCTGCAACAAGCACGAAATGTGGTTAGTTGCGAAAAACAGTTCCCTGCTGTCGCCTGATCTGACGCTGATCATTTTACATATTGCCTTAAGAAATTTAAGGGTGTTGGGGTCCATCGGGCCGAGAACCTCGATACATATTGGCAAGAATTCCATCGAGGGAAGGGCGTTCCCATAGTTTTTCATTTTCTCGTCCGCTGCCCTGGCTGTGGCCAAACCGCATTCTTTACTTGTCGGGTTTACATATCGTTTGGCGAGGGTGCCAGGGACCGTAACATCCCACGCCAAACATCTGCCGGCTCTCCAAGGTATTAGTGTGCATCCGTCCGGGCGCCTACCATCAAGCGCAGAAATGCCGGATGGTTCCTTGAGAACCGGGATTGAAGCCTTGGAGAAGAGCCGACAAATGTATTCGTTTAGCGCTGAGTGACGTAGTTGACGGCCCCCCATCCAGGCGACAAACCAAACCGTGGTGCCCAAACTCGTCCGCCCCAGCGCCACATCGGCACGTGTATTTATTCTGAATGACCAGGCCAAGTCTGAAGCCAATGGCAAATCTCACAGACTCGTCGTCAAGCCTGGTGCCCACAGAGGTGTTGGGCCACGATCTCAACCACCCACAGCTGGCAACGCTGGACATGGCCAACAAACGAGCGGTGGAAAAGTCGTCGCTGCATGAAGACAACAAATTTTGAAAGATTTTTTTATATTCTTCGTACAAAATGTATGTATGTATGTTTGTGTGTTTGTATGTATGTATGTATGTATGTATGTATGTATGTATGTATGTATGTATGCATGTATGTATGTATGTATGTATGTATGTATGTATGTATGTATGTATTATGATGTGTGTATGTATGTATGTATGTATGTATGTATGTATGTATTTATGTATGTATGTATGTATGATGTATGTATGTGTGTATATATGTATGTATGCATGCGTACCTGTTTTTATGTATATTTATTGGTAGAAGATATCCTATAATCTCGACTGCATTGATTGGGTTTGGAGATTTGCTTCTGACGTCATATTATAATGACTATGCAGGATGACGATGATGATGATGAAGATGATGAGATGATGATGATGAGGACGATGATGATGAAGAGGACGAGATGATGATGACGATGAAGATGATGAGATGATGATGAAGATGATGACACAACTGATGATGTTGATGGTGAGGTTTATTTAAAATTCATCGCCATCATAGAGACCAATAAATATAAAATACTTTTATTGTCAGGTTTGTTTATATAAACAAGTATATATATATATATACACATGTGTTTGTGTGTGCGTGTGCGTGTGCGTATGTATGTGTGTTTTCAAAACTCATTCTTTGTTATAAATGTTTACACGTGTATGTCTATTCGTGCAAGCTTGTACACATCGTCATCATTGCACTTCACCATCATTACACATTAACATGCACACACTTGCTAATTTGTACAGCATCTGCACACCCATGTACATACACAACACATACACACACACACATACATACTGCACACACACACACACACACACACACACACACACATATATATATATATATATATATATACATATATATAAGTTTCTATAAATTATATATATTTTTTGTCTTTGTGATTTGCAGTTTGTTTATGTGAATTCATTAAAATAACTCCAATGTATTATCTTTTTAACTGCCACAACGATATATGCTAACATAAACATTATGTTTATTACATATGCGCCTATTGTTACATGAATGTAATTCATAATGCTATCATTAACTTTGAAATATATAATTTTATAAATATTGATGCACAAACGTTTTCATTTGTTGTATATACAAGTTTGTATGTGAAATATATAAAAATATACATGTGTATACAATTATACATGTATAATATATATTTTTATACACATGTACACACTACTGTATAAATATACATTTGAATACACATACATACGCATATATTTATATATACAAATATAAACGTACATATCCGTATATATATATATTCATATATAATAACGAAAGAATGAAAGAAGGAAACGAAGGAACGGTAAAACACAAACCTCCACAATAACTCCTGGTTGATGATGAAAGTTAACTCCGCCCCTAATCTTTAAACTTGAATCTTATTGGACACTGAAGTGTCGAGTTAGCAACTTTGCTAACCAATAGAGATAGCTTTCTCGGTTTTCTTTTTCTTTTCATTATTCGCGTGGTTATTTTTATTTTGTTCAAAATGAAAATTTTTTGTTGTAGAGGTTGTTCGTGATGTATAGAAAGGTTGAATTTCATTTTTTAAATTGATTTTTTGGACTTGATTTTTATATGCCAAAACTATGTTTTTTGAAATAGAGCAAAATAATTGAATTTGGAATTGATAGTCACATATGCAATGTTGGCACCCCCTACAATACGACAATGGTATGATCCGACGCGTCAACCAATGAAACATCGTCAATTCAACCAACAATCATCTGCCTCTTCATTATTTGCTTACCTCCTATTGGTCGATGTCCTCATTCATTCATTTCTCCTCATTCATCCATCCATCACTTATTCTGACTATATAAGATTATCTCAGGCATCATCTTCCTTGCTTCGTGCTCCGAACATCTTCTGCAGCAGCTTCTGTCGGCTGGATGGATGCTTCATTCGAATTTTTGTTTTAAATTTCTTTATTTCTGGAGCTAACAGTTTAATTATTTGCAGTCATCATTAACATTTCCACGGTTTGTTTCATATTTATTGGTTTATCCAAATAAAATTGTGAGTATAAGAACAATCTGATGTTACAACAACAACAACAACATTAAAAATAACAACAAACAACAACTTTATCAAGCAGTCATAAAAATTAATTTTTTTCACTTTTTTTCACTTCTCAATCGAACTGATGCCATTTCAAATCTTATCGTAACGACATTTACGCTAATTAAAATTCGTTCAACTCTTTATTATTACATGATTCGTTTGATCCTATTTTCAAAACGTTAGAGCATTAAAGAATTGTGATCACATCACAACATCGTCATTCCAAACATCTCAGCATACCTTATCATCAACGTCAAATTGAACAACAATTTCAACACTCCCCTAATTAACTAGCAACTACAACAACAGTCATCAACACAAACAACAACACGAACAACAACAGTCATCAACACAAACAACAACACGAACAACAACAATCATCAGCACAAACAACAACACGAACAACAACAACAGTCATCAACACAAACAACAACACGAACAACAATAACAGTCATCAACACAAACAACAACAATCATCAACACGAACAACAACAACGGTTATCAACACAAACAACAACACGAACAACAACACGAACAACGTCAGCAGTATGGAGAACAAAATGGTAAACAGGAATGTTGAAAAGGATGACGAAGTTGGAAGAACGAACAGTTCAACAAAGGAAAATAACAATGATGACGACATCAACAAAAACAACAACTTCAACGGCAACAACAACAACAGCGTTATGAACATCAACAAGATCATTTCAAACAACAACAACAGCAACAAAAACAGCAATCACAGCAACAACAACAATTTTACTATCCACCACGACAAACCAAGCAGTTAGTAAATAGCTATTTTAATAAAAATTAATATTCTCACAAAATCCACTTTTGAAGAAACAAACTTCCTCATAAATGTATCATTCATTATTCAATACCTGTTCTTAATTTTTGTACAAATTTAAAATCAATGTTGAATGATGATTTTTGACAATTTTATTACAAATTCACATATTGAAAAAATGGATATTAGCAATAGACCAAAAAATGAATTCTAAACAAAGCCAGAAGTTTTGCTTGATCATTGAAAAACATCTGATGCATCATTTAAGATGGAAGCTTGTTCGAAGCCATATTTTTTCATGTTAGATTTTTTAAATAAAATAAATTAGGGTATTCTCATCTTTTTTTGCACAGATCATGTTTAATAAAATTTACATGAATTACTAAAATTTTTAATTATTCATTTAAAACTGTTTTTATATATAAAAAAATCTTAAACAAGCAATTTATTTTTCGACAAACATTCCCTGGCTGCAAACATTTCTCGTGCAACTGCATGGTTTTCATCATTTTTTGAACAATTGTCGCGAGTTGTTGAGTTCAGATTCATTTCCTTGCCACAATTACTATATTTGTTTTTGTACAAGCTATCATATTTTGTTCAATTTTTGAATAACAATAACATCATAAATTAAAATAGAGTCATAATAGACTGAAAGTGCATTAAATCTTTACAAAGAGAATGGCTGACTCAACTGAGTCACTTCTGTGATCTAACAAACCAGCGATAGGTTCAAAAAATAAACTTTATTTTTTTCTATAGCAAATAGTTCAGCTGTTGTTCTTTAAAGTGCAATAGTTGGATTGTTTCATCATCACCAAAGCAACTTCACATACATCCCAGACAGAAATATTTTAAAGTACAATCTGGTAAAAAAAATGTTAAAATTATGTTAACATAGAATTAAAAAAAATTTGAAAACAAAATGCGAAAAAACATCCATAGTCAAATAATAATCCATAAATTTAAATTTAATCCAACTGCAATCACCGTCACCAGCGTAACTTGGATGCAGATCAAAATATTGCACAATATAACAACACTCAACTTATCAAACCAATCTACAAGAAGTTACACAAAGAATTTTCATCCAACAAGAACACACACACCACTAACTACACACACACATACACTATACTCACAACACACACACCCCTCACAACACACACACCCCTCACAACACACACACACAAAACACACACACACCACTCACTACACACTCACAAACACACACAACACAAAAGAACGCGAGAAACAGCAATATGAACCGGCAAGCGTGGAGAATCGAATGTTTCCACATCGGCCATGGGTCGTTGCACAGTATGTGCAGTGTCCTTTATGTCTCGTTGTACGTTGTTGTACGTTAATGTTGGTTGTTGTTGCTGTTGTTGTATGTTGTTGTTGTATGTTGTTGCGCAGTTGCGCAGCTGTGCAATAATGTTTGTTAATTTTTGTTGTTATGTGCTGTTGTGTTGTTGTACGTTGTTGTACCTTAATGTTTGTTGTTGTACTGTTTCGTATTGCTGTGCGTTAATGTTTATTTTTGTTTTTGTTTGCTAGTTGTGTTATACCCCAAAAAACGAATAGAATTAAAATATGCTTATTGAAACAAGCACTTTCTATCAATTAAATACACATGGCATGAGAAACAACGTAGAAACAAAGTAGATGGTGTGCTACTGCACGTAGCACACCATCATAAAATCACACGCATACTCACACACGTGCACACAGACACACACACATACACACAAAACACACACAAGCACACACACAGACACACACACACACAAACACACACAAGCACAGATACACACACTGCAGCACAAAACAGCATAAGACAGGCAGTGCAACAGACCATTGAGGCATCAAATTGCACGCATCCACACTCCACTGAGCAAAACCATCCGACATCTTCTACCATCCAAGCTCAACATAGTCCAACATTACACCTACACAAACACTACATCTCGCATAATCCAACAACACACACTACACACACCACACTAACTACACACACACTACACCACACACACTACACCACACACACCAAGCCACACACCCACACATCATTCAACATTTCACATCCCTTTACAGTTCACACACCACCAAACATTCCACAAACATCCAACGTCCTACACCACTCAGATATCCCACACACCATCCATCCAACCTTCCACACGCTATCCAACATTCATCCAGCTAACCATCTTATTTTTCACGCACTCCATCCATCATTTCACACACCATACCTCATTCTACAGATAATTTTATAATGTATACAACACCAACATTCTATACACCAACAGTTCCAACAAACAGTTCAACTGCTTATACAACAACATCTCCACGTACCATTTAACTTTAAATATTTATTTTTTTCGTGTTTGTTTACATTATTATCTTTTTTTATTAACATTTATTTTGTTATAAAATTATTTTTAAACGATTATTTTGAATAATAAAACAACACTGGGCAGATTTCACGAGACTTATTTTCATTTCATTCAGCAGATACGCCCTCGCCCACGGTAGATTCCAACAGCAGCACTCCCCTGCCCAGTCCCTCCTCTTCCCCGCCCACCCCCTCTCACATCAACCCCTCTTCTCCTACAACCCCTACTCACATTCACCCTTCCAAACCTACCACCCCCTTCTACCTCCCTGGATCCATCGCTGCCATCACCTCCGGACTGCTCTCCTCATCACATAGCAGCAACCACCCAAGCGACAACAACAACAACAACATTGTTCTGAGCAACAATTTCACTAACAATTTCAACAACACCAACTTCAACAACGCTTCTTTCAGCAACAAAAACAACGACACCGATCAACATCACCACAACCTCAACAGCGTGAACGGTTTCGTCAACAAAAACAGGTCGGCTTCTCCGGCTTACACCATTTCCAAAATTCACAACTTTAAATTTTCTCGCCACTACTACCATCAGCAGCAGCAGCACCAGCAACAGTATTTGAAACATCAACAACAACAACAACAACTTTCTCCCGAGGTAGCCAACGATTTGTCATCTTCATCTTTGCAACCACGACAACAAAACAGCCATCTAGCGGAAGACGTTGCAGTTTATAACAACAACAGCATCAACCTGACTAGCAACAACAACGTCAATAACAACAACAGCACAGAGAATTCAAGCCATTCCTCCAGCGGAAACAAGATGAGACAACTAACAAACGGTTGCAGCAACACCATCAGCAACAATAACAACACAAATTCAGTAAGCCACAACTTAGCAACATACAGCGGAGGCAACATGTTTAACAACACTGGAAGTAGCAGCAGCAACAGCAGCAGTAGTGGCAGTGGTGGCAGCCTTGGCGGCAGCAACAATGGACTCCTCATAAAACGAAGCTCGCCAGGCCTGACGTGTGTCGTCTGTGGAGACACGTCTAGTGGAAAGCATTACGGCATCCTAGCTTGCAATGGTTGCAGTGGTTTTTTTAAGAGGAGTGTCAGAAGAAAACTTATTTACAGGTTGGTCAGTTGGTCGGTTGAAAGGTTGGTTGGTGGTTGATGTGGCTACTGCACATGCGATGGAGCTGGTTGTCTTGCTTTTTTTTAGAAATTCTTTAAATATTCATTGAAATCAAATACTTGGTTCAACTTAGACAAACAAGTAAATTTTTGTATTTTTCTAAATTTCTTTCATCTTCTGACCAAATTCGACAAACTCCAGACATTGCAACATTACATAACTTCTATATTTTTGCTCTTGTAGCTCTCTAAACTTAACTTTTACATTTTTTATCAATTTCTAAAATGTATAAAATGGTAATTTTTTAATCTTTTAGGATAATTTCATGAAATAGTAAAAGGATAACATGCTTACTACAAAAATTCATAAACGGAATAATGATATAAAGACATGTGCAAGTGTTTAGATGTTTAAAACATGTAACACTGTGAAACATGTAACACTGTGAAACATGTAACACTGTAAAACATGTAACACTGTAAATTATGTAACACTGTAAAACATGTAACACTGTTTACTAAACAAAATAAGCTAAAAAAAATTTAACCAATTTTCGGAAAAAGAAAACTTTTTAAAAACATTAGATAAAATAACAGCAGCAGTAAAATATCTTTTGGCGCCAATGTTTTGCTGCTTGTCTCCACACACAAACAGCAAACTTTCAGAACCCAACAACACCTAATCGTGCAGATTACACACGCAATTCGGCAAATTAGAAACAAGTTGAACAATCATCTAACGCATTAAGACACAGAATTTTTATTTCTAATTAAATAGCGCTACTGAACAACCAATGATGAAGAAGTAGCATGTAACCAACCTTTCCAACGCCACTACAGGTGCCAGGCTGGAACAGGGATGTGCACCGTGGACAAGTCGCACAGGAATCAGTGCCAGGCTTGTAGGTTGAAGAAGTGCTTGCAGATGGGAATGAACAAAGATGGTTAGTGTCGTTGTTGCTGCAGTTGTTGTTGTGACTGCTGTAGTTGTTGTTGTGGCTGCTGTAGTTGTTGTTGTGGCTGCTGTTGTTGTTGCTGCTATTTTTGCTGTTGTTGAAGCTGCTGATGTTTCCGTTGCAGTGGCGATTAGTTTTGTGTGGTGTATGTAGGGCAGTTTGATAATTGATATCAACAAGTTTGATAATGTAATTTCTATCAAGGACAATAAACTAACTGCGTCGTCGCTGATAAAAGTGACGATAACTTTAATCTCAATAATGAACGTCGAAAAATAAAAAATTAATTGCTCAAACTAAAGAACAGAGAATACTTCAAATTGAAGATAGCAAAATCAATTTTCATCGATAAACGTAAACCAGTAATAAATATTCAACTAAATAATACCAATATTCTTCCAACAAAAAAGCATATGATCAACTTTAATTCTAATTAAGTTACAATCAAAGTCGCTGTGAAAACAAAGACACAAAGACGGAACAATACTTTATAACTATACTGATGATGAGCTTTTCTGTAGTAATAACGTTGTTAGGTTATGCTGTCAAAAATGTCAAATATTAAAAGTTTTTTTGTTTAACCTTAATAAACTTCATCAAGATGGTAAAAGTCTCGTTAGAAAAATTGAGAAACTCAACTACAAGTTGAATAATGCCGAAAACGCAGTGATCTTTATAAATAATTGTATTAATGACAGTCTAAACCCCCTCCCCAAAAAAATATATATATATTTATATATACAAACAAATGTATTAATATATTATATGTATGTATGTATAATATATACAAAAAGAGCTAATAAAATATATATATATATATATATATAATATGATCATTTATATAGCGCCTATTAAAAACATTCTCATAGGCGCTTTACAACTATGGCAATTTTCTACAAGGAAAAAAGATATGTCTTCAATTGACTCTTGAACTGGGGAAGTGTCAGACCAGACCGGCGCAAAAAATGTGGAAGTTCATTCCAATGCCTTGGTCCATAAACTGCAAAACTACCTGATGCAATTTTTAATTTAGTAACCGGGACCACTAACAAGTTTCCCCGATCTGATCGTAGGCCAGTTTTTAAAGAAATCGATGATCTGTCAATCAACATTTCGGACAGATATTGCGGAGCCAATCAGTTTAAGCATCTATAAACCAAAAACACAGACTTTAAAAACAATTCATTTGCTGACCGGCAACCAATGCAATTCCGACAAAAGTGGGCTAATATGTTCAACACGACTAGCACCAACAACAATTCTTGCAGCTCTATTCTGAACCATCTGCAACTTAGCAATCTCATGTTTCGAAACACCATAAAACAAACTATTACAATAGTCCAATCTAGAATGTATGAACGAATGAATCAGAGTAACCATGGTTGATATGTTCAAACTCTTTTTAATTCGATACAATTGCCGCAATTGAAATGAACAAGATTTTACCAAAACCTTTATATGTTCACCCATACATAGATTTTTATCTATTTTAAAACCCAAAACTGTAGCCATTTTTCCAAAATCAATAATTATGTCACTTATTTTCACAAAATCAACGTTAATCCTAGAGGTTTGCTGCCAAGTTCCAACTGGTACCAGCTGAGTTTTTTCCCGATTCAATTTTATACTATTCAAACCCATCCACCCATCCAGTGCACCCAAACAATCCAACATTCTTTCAATCAGAAAATCAAACTCCCCAGTCGCCGCACTTGCAATTATCTGAACATCATCTGCATAAGCAAAACCCTTTAAAGAAAATTCATCAATGAGATACATAATATCGGCTGTATATAATGTAAAAAGAAGCGGGCCTAAAACAGACCCCTGGGGAACCCCAGACAAAACATCAACTGTATTTGATCAAGAATTATTATAATAAACCTGCTGGGTACGTTTGCACAAATAAGATTTGAAAAATTCCAAAGCTAAGTCACAGACACCGTAACTTAAACATAATCGACGTAACAGTGTATCATGATTCACACAGTCAAATGCGGCACTCATATCAAGTAGAGTCAGAAGAGAGACCTGATTGCGATCAGAAGCCTCAAAAAGTTCCGACAATACCTGTAACAAGGCCGTCTCCGTGGAATGAAAGCGTCTGAAACCAGATTGATTATTCGGAAAAAAGTTATTATCATTTAAATACTTTAGAAATTGTTTATGAACAATTCTTTCTAAAACCTTCGAAATAAAAGTTAAATTCGAGACAGGTCGAAAACTTTTAAGTTCATTCATGTCTAAAAACGTATGCTTCTGAAGAGGAATAATAATTGCATGCCTATAAACAGCTGGAAATGTGCCTGTTGACAGACACAAATAAATTAATTCCGTAAAATAGGGCAAAAAATAATCTATATATTGTTTAAAAACATTAGCAGGCATACAATCAATCATACAGGAGGTTGACGGAGAACTAATTACCAAGGTTCTAACTTCAGACTGCGATACCCGCGAAAATTCACAAAATTTTATGTCAACATTAGACCTACACTTTATAGTAGGCTCTCCAGCTACAGATATATTGTTTTTTATCCCTTCAATTTTTTTAATGAAAAATTCAACAAAATTGTTAGCTGTATGGGTCATAGTACAATCATTTGATGACTCTTTACATAAAATTTTATTTAAAATTCTCCATAACTTTTTAGGATCATTACCATTTTCATCAACCAATTTTTTCCAATAATTTTCTTTTTTCTCCCTAAAATATTTGTTTTTTAACCTTAAGGATTCAACCCACAATTTTTTGCCCCCCATTCTATAATGTAATCTATATTTTCTTTCTGCCCTTCGACAATCACGCCCTATCTTACGACACTCACCATCATACCAAGCAGTCGCCACAATTTTTTTTTCAACCATATGAATCGGTGCAACAGCATCAGCAATTTTTAATATATTGTATAATAATAATTTAATAAAATAATTATAAACAATATATATATATATATATATATATATATATATATATTGTTGTTGGAATTTCTACCTGGAATATCATTTCCTCTATTTTCTATTTAAACAATTAAAGTTGCTGCTTTTTAAGCAGCATTTCGGTTCTTGTAATTAAATGTGATTATGAAAATGAAATTTTATTTTTATTTTTTTTTTATTTTTTATGTTCTTTATTAGTCAGTACTATCATTATGTTGTTTTAATTCTTGTGTCGGTTAATAATTCGTTGTGAGGCTTGTTGATTATTGCGTTGAATTTTTGTACATAACTAGTAACTTGTGTGGATAAATCCTAAAAATCGTCATTTGAATTAGTATTACTTCTTTTTGGTCATCTATTTATTTATTGATTTTGGGTTAAATATATGTGTGTTCTGACATTTAACTGAGTGACAATCAACTTTCTTTCTTTTGTCTTATTTATTTTTTCTTGCACTTATTGTAGGCACTTTTGAGATTTTATTAAAAAGCGATTTATAAATTTTCATTTAATAATATATATATATATATATATATATATATATATATATATATTCATGTTTTATATAAGCATATAAATATACTCACACACACACACACACACACATATATATATATATATATATATATATATATATATAATGTAACAAATAGAAATAATCAGAATAAGTCGATGCTTTATAGGGTTAACGTGCACTATTGAAATCTTGATGTATTGCATTTATGTTGCTGATGTGATGTTGTTGTTGTTGTTGATGTTGTTGTTTTTTTATAACTCTCTATGAATACTTAACATTAATAATGTTTCGAAGTTGAAATATTTTTGCTTGCGAAAATGAAACTCAATAATTATACATCAGAACATTCTAGAGCTAGCATTACATGATTTTATGAGTCTACATGTCTGGAGAAGTCTTCATCGTGAATGTTTGTAATTGTTGTTACTGCTTCATTCTTGTTTTTAGATTTTGTTGGTGTTTGGATGTTTAGTTAAATGTTTGTAGAATTTGTTGCTGTTGTTGTTTTGCTGCTGCTGTTGTTGTTATTGTTGTTGTTGTGGCTATTGTTGTTGTTTTTCTTGTTAGAGCGACGTTGTTTTATTATTATTATTGTTGTTGTTGTTGTTGTTGTTGCTGCTGCTGTTGTTATTTTTGTTGTTGTTGTTGTTGGTTCCTCCTTTCTTCTCTTTGATGGAGCTTAGTGGGATCTTTAGCTTGGATTTCATTTGTTTATTCGGGAATTAATTTGTCCATATGAAATATATGTGCACATGTGTGTGTGTGCCTGTATTTAGTGTATTTATATGTGTGTGTGTGCGCGCATGTGCGCGTGTTGCGTGTGGTGCGTGTGTGTGTGCTGTGTGTGTGTGTGTAAGTATGTGTGTAAGTGTGTGTGTGTGTGTAATTTTTAGAATGTTTAATGTTTTTCTTTGTAGGTTGATTGTGCCTAACAAATAACTGATATTGTAATGTGATGTCGCAAATTGGAAATGTTATGGTTGGACGTATCTTTATAGCGTTTTTATTGATCTCTGTAAGACTTTTGACTCATTGGATCATAAAATTTTACTAAATAAATTATCTAGATACGGTATAAGAGGAATAGCTTATAAATGGTTTTATTCTTATCTGCATGAACGTTATCAATATGTCTCTATTAATAATTCTGCGTCTCAACTGTCTTCTATTGCATCAGGTGTTCCGCAAGGTTCTATTTTGGGTCCTCTATTATTTAATATTTTTATTAATGACTTCATTAACTCTTCTAGTGTTTTAAAATTTGTACTTTTTGCCGACGATACTACTTTACTTTTTTCGCATTCTAATCTTGATTTATTGGTTTCTACCATTAATAATGAATTAATTCATGTCTATGATTGGGTTGTTTCTAATAACTTAAGAATTAACCTGGACAAAACTTTATTTATTTTTTTTGGTCCTAAAATTCGTACAGACATTTATTATCCCATCATAGTACTAAATAATATATTAATTAAAAAAGTATATTCTGTAAAATTTTTGGGTGTTGTTATCTCTAGTAATTTGAATT